GCATACTGCGTACTGCAAACACATGACGGACTATCATCATGTGACTGTCACGTGGCCAGAAGTTCACCTCAGTGAAGTTATGAAAAGAAATAGGCAGATACACTAAATTTAAACCAAAATTAATGTTTTAAAAATTGAATTCAAACATCCTGACAGAAGCAATGGCTCTCTGGATCCAGTCTTTGCTGTGAGCGGTTATCATTAAAGGTACTTTGTAGTTGCCATTTGCACCCAGCAACCTTAGATCTGTAGACTGCCCCACTCAAAGAAATCCATCACTAATTCAGCACCATCTTTTAAATCCACTTCTCAAAATACACTCCCGTAGACTTGCTTTTATGTGATTGCCTTTTGATCTTGCCAACTTTTAACCTTGCGATGCTTACCCATGCATTTAAAAAAAAAAAAAAATCTAATTTCATTTCACAGAGTTGTTTTTCCTTTTGATCATGTTTTCTATTTTTATTTCCCAGCTGCATTTTATTCTTTATTCATTTGTCTTTTCATTATTTAATTTTTGCCCTTTCTGCTTGCTTGTTATGAATTTTGTGAACTACATTTGGGCAATTGTTATTTTCAACGTTTCTCATTTTTGTTGTCATTATACTACCTCTTCAAAGGAGGTTATGTTGATTCTGCCCATGTTTGTCTGTTAGCAAAAAGCCAGAAAGGTGATTTCAATTGAATTTGCTTTGCATTTTTTTTGCCTTATTGCTACCTGGAATCAGTACTACACCACTCCCATTTGTACCTCAACACATCTTCGACCACCTTAAACTTTTTTCACCCTTTACTGAGCTTATTTGGTAGACATATACATGCTACTTTATTGTGACTGGGTTTCAGTTGGGCTGTTTTTTCATTAATACCATAAATCTAAATAAGGCCATCTTGCATTAAACACAGATTACAGCCCTTTCTCTAACAGCAACTCAAGAGATACTGGGGGAAAAAAACAGAAAGGGGAAATGAGAGTCTGACTCCATGCTGCAGTCTGCTTTGTGTCAGTTATATGTTTCTGTGTTTTATTAATGCTGTGACGTCTGTAGCTTCAATTCCTGCCATCTTTCAGATCCACAATTCTTCCATGATGCAGAACAGTGAAATAATAAACAGCACAGCTAAACAGTGCAAGGCTGGACCGAGCCAACTTATCCAACATCCAGTCATTCGTGACTGTTTGTTCATCATTAACCACTGAACTAAACAGTGCATCACAGCGGTTCATAATACGTCCTGCCAAGAGATAACAGGCTGGAGACAGAGCTATGAGCTGGAACTCGTCAAGCTGACAAAACAGATTCTTTTTGTAGGATAGTCTAAATGCTAGCAACAGCATGAACTTGTATTGACATAACACAAAGTCAACAGTTAGCGCTTGCATGCTGTGTCAAGACAGAAATGTCATAACTTCCGCACTAAGCATCTTCTCCTGTTTGCATGCACTGCCCAAAGAGAGATGTGGATCTGTTTACTGTGGGATGGAGTTTGACATGCTGGCATTTTTCTGCTTTTATCCGAGCTGACATATATTGTTTGATTATTGGTCTGTTTATAATTTGGATCATAAATAGAGACAGTAAGTGTGAGATAAGAGGGGGATGTTGTGTTAATGGGAAAGTGGTCATCAGTGCTTCCCAATGTTTTCTTTCTTTACAGCATATCCCTGTCAGATGAACAGTATTTCAACCAATATTTATATCTATAAGTAGTTTTATGGATTATGTGAGCAGTGTTTACCTGTTTTAAAGCTCTAACCTCTCTCTTAAGTATTTAAATGTTTTATCACTACTTTTAGCAAACTATATCTGCTTGCTTCAGTAAGTAGCTTTAAAACAATTGTTGGCATTGTGCTAATGTTGCAACTGGCTCGGGCTGATAGGAGGTACAGGGCAGTCCAGATGTAGCTAGTGGCAAAATCACTAAGGGTCAGTTTCATAGCAGTGTTGCTTTAATGTTTTTGTCTCCTAAAGATAAATGTGCAGACAGTGCTTACCACGTCTTAAAAGGAAATAAATGAGATGAACAAAAACATGCAATATGTTTCACCATATCATTATTTATTTAACAAAGCACTGAGCTAAAATGCAGAAGCAGCCGTGACTCAGGATCATTGTGGAGGAATTGTACCCAACTTTTATCTAGGTTTGTGAGCATTCATTTTTGTGCAGCTCTCTACCACAGCATTTCAATCTGGCTGAGGTCTAGGCCATAGCTGCACTTGTTTTTTTAATGTTTGATATGCTATGTTTGGTTTTTGCCAAACAGAGAGGTGTGCGTTATGGCCTCT